CGGCCTTTACACATCTAGAATAAAGTCCTCAAATGTCTAAACAAAGTCTACAGTGGAGCTCCAAAATAAAAGATATCTAAAAATAGTCAGCTGAACACTAAAGTGTGTCGTCATCAACCTGCGACTCTCCGGGCTCCTGGCTCGTTACCTGAAAGGGGGAGGGACAACGAGCGTCAAAGCGCTAGCGAGCAACATCACAACCAACCCCAATGGAGAGGGCTCGTTGTATAAGAAAATACAGTTATCACAAAATACATATACATAAAAATCAATTATACTAAAAATAAACAATAGGTTTTAGTACTTAGGAAGTTTCAACACGGGCATAGGTACGTCGAGCGAAATAATCCAAACAAGGAAACCCTCATGTATATACCTTGTATCTCAAATTGAAAGTCCCTAAGTACCAAACCCGAGGTCTAATACAAGAAACAATAAAGAAAAGAATACAACCCATCTCTATCGATAAATGTAACCATGTCAAAGCCACAATAAGTGTCATGTCCAGCCTAGGTAGCTATCATGTCCAAACTTAATAAATATGTCGTGCTCTAAACTCAAATATGTATCATGCTCAAGGTTTAGCAAATGTCCAACACATGGACTAAAGGTAATGCATGTCCAACACAGGGACTAAAATGATAATCACAGTCCAATCTCAAGGACTTCTATAAATCACAGTCCAACACGAGGACTTCTATAAATCACAGTCCAACACGAGGACTTCTATAAATCACAGTCCAACACGAGGACTTCTATAAAATACGTGTCCAACACATGGACCGAAATGATAAGTATCCAACACATGGATCAATAGTAATGTATGCCCAACACATGGACTATAAGTAAAGAGGTGCAATTGTCAAAGGTATATGTGGAAAGATATACATATCCTAAACTCGCACGTGTCTCGATGTGCGGGTCTAAACTTGTGTCAAAAGTGTCAACTCACATGTATAGACAAGTCACTATCATTGCAATGTAGTGTCAGATAATCGAGGCGACCCCTCGGGCGTATAAAATACACAACCAAAACAAATATATACACAAACAGCGCGACGGTCGACCGCAGAGACCACTCCGGTCGACCGCGCATAGGGCAGAGGCATTCTGTTCGACAGAACGCCCAGCGGTCGACCGCCGCGTCACATGCGGTCGACCGCGAAACGGACAGAAGCTTTTCCAGGTTTCTGTTCTGCTTCGAAATCGATCCAAACAATACACCCAAGCTTCCAAACAATATATTACACATTCTAATACATATGAATCATCATATAATAACATCTAGCATGTAAACAAAAACATCACCAAGATTTGTGAGCTTATATACACATGATTTAAAAGTTATAAAACAGTAAATCGAAATTTTAACTCTTAATAAAGCATTTTTAGGTTTAGATCTCTTTAACCAAAATCATTGGTGAGTATTTAAAAACTAAAATACTTGGTTTTCACATCTCATATCATAAAGATCTATCTATATATGCAAAGTAGTGATTTAGGCTCAAGAAAACTCATTAAAATCGTTAGAAAAGCTTGTAAAACCATAGGTGAGAGATTGGGCGAGATGTTACTCGCCTCTAAGGTGAACAAAGCTCCTGGATTCACAAGAGAATGATCCCCTTTGCTGATCCATACAAAAATCCATCATAAATCCTTCGAACTCCTCTAGGGTTTGAGAGGAGAGAGAGAATGGGGGCTGAGGCTATTAGGGTTTGAAAGAGGGTTCTGAGAGCTTCAAAACGAGTATATATAAGTAGGGTAACAACCGGGTTTGGTATAAACAAAACCAACCCGAAACAGAACTAAAACTGGCGTCTGCACGCCCAGCGGTCGACCGCAGCGACCACGGCGGTAGACTGCTCAGAGTTCTGGGCCGTGCTCAGACTGGGGTTCGGTAAAAAGGTTGTAACTTTCTCATATGATCTCGGAATGAGGTGATTTAAGATTCGTTGGAAAGCTATTGAAAAGACCTACAACTTTGTTCTTATACACCTTTCCATATTATAACTAAATCAGCATGAAAAACATAGTAACTCTCAACTGGTCAAAATTCTCAGATTTTCACTCTTGGCCTTTGTGCATGTTTTGTTTATTTACACTCATATATTCACAAATATACATTGAATTGATCTCAAATCAATTCTTATCATACTCAAACATCAAAATACATTATTTTCACCATATAACATATTTATAATTATTTATCACACTATATTCAAATTTTCGGGGTTTTACATCTATGACTTAGCTTCTAGCTTGTCCCTGACATGGTCACTGATATGAACATAAGCCACATAACCAAATACCCGCAAGTGTGATAGATTTATCTTCTTGTCACTCCAAACCTTCTCTGGAATCCTAAAATCTAATGGAACTGATGACCCGTGATTAATAAGGTAGGCTGCTGTATGCACTACATCTGCCCAAAATATCTTAGGCAGACCTGCATGTAACCTCATGCTCCTGGCACGCTCTGTCAAGGTCCTGTTCATCCTCTCTGCAATGTCGTTCTACTGCGGCGTCCCTGGAGTACTCCTCTCTAACCGAATACCATTCGTAGCACAGAACCTCTTGAACTCCTCCAGCTCATATTCCCCACCATTGTCTGATCTCAGACACTTCACCTTCAGATCTGTCTCATTCTCCACCATGGCCTTCCACTTCTTGAAGATTCCAAACACCTCTGACTTGTGCTTCATGAAGTAGATCCACACCTTTCTCGAGTGATTGTCGATGAAGGTGACATAATATCTCGAACCGCCAAAAGAAGACACACTGGCTGGACCCCATACATCTATATGAATCAACTCTAGCTTCTGAGCCTTAGGTGGCCTTCCATCTTTCTGAAAACTAACCCTCTTCTGCTTCCCAAAGATGCAGTCTTCACAAACCCCGACTTCCACGGCGTCGATCCCGGTTAGCTTTCCTTGTGAATGCAAAATCTTCATCCCCATTTCGCTCATGTGCCCTAGCCTGTTGTGCCACAGATCTGTACTCTCTTTGCTGGCTGTAATTGCGAGGGTGTCACTCGCATGTAAGGTGAGGTAGAGAGTTCCTAGTTTGTTACCTCGAGCAACTATCATCGTACCGTTGGAGATCCTCCACGAATCCCCAGTGAATATCGAAACATAGCCTTCTGCTCCAAGTTGTCCCACCGAAACAAGATTCCTCTTCAGTTTCGGCACGTGTCTCACGTTCTTCAAGATCCACTTAGATCCCTTCATCTGAATTTACACTGCACCCTTTCCAACAATATTACAGGGCTCGTTGTTCCCCAAATATACTTTTCCAAAGTCCCCTGCTACATAATTCTAAAATATCTTCCTACTAGCAGTGGCGTGGAAAGAGGCTCCTGAATCGATGACCCAAGAATCCGAGTCACTGTCCATTGTAAGAATCAAGGCATCCTGCACGATATGAGCCTCCTGCTCACCCGCATTCTTCTTTGGACCTTTGCAGACTGAAGACATATGGCCCTCCTGACCACAGTTCCAACACTTTCCTTTGATAGGCCTAACCTTCGAGTTCGACCTCTTCTTTACTGATTTCGACCGATTCCTGTTCTGGTTTCCTTTCTTCTGGCTTCTGCCTCTCTGCTCGAAACTTAGAGCTGAACCTGAACCTTCTGATTCGGACGATTTTCTTCTAACCTCCTCGGATAGAATCATGCTAACAACCTCACTCAGCTTTAACGTCTCCTTCCCCGCCGAATTGCTGATTGCCGTCACACAACCTGCCCAACTATCCGGCAACTGCGATAGAATCAATAGGGCTTGCACTTCGTCATCAAACGTGATGTCCATGCAGATAAGCTGATCAACAATTGTGTTGAACTCGCTGAGATGTATCGTGAAGGACCGTCCTTCTGCCATCTTGAGGTTGAAAAGAGTTTTGACTAGATGCACCTTGTTTGCTGTCGACGGTTGCTCGTACATCTTCGCGAACGCTTCCATAAGCCCCACCGTCGTCTTCTCCCTCAGAATATTATGAGCTACTGATTTGGCGAGCGACAACCGGATTTGTCCTAGAGCCTTCCTATCCAGTACCTCCCAATCACCATCTGACTATTCCTTCTTCTTTCCCTTTTTCTTGCACATCAACGGGCGATACAAGTCCTTCTGGTACAGGTAGTCCTCCATCTACGACTTCTAGTAGGCGAAGTCTGAACCGTCAAACTTCTCAATCTTTGATTTGCTTTCCTCTACCATGGCTCTCTTTTACACAAATTGCTGAATGAAGCTCTGATACCAGTTATTGGGGATTCGAAATAATCAAATCAAATCCGTACCCTTCTGGATCTTGTGTTTGAGAGTTGAGCAAGAAGGAAATTCATCACAAATCAAAAATAAAAACTTGTAGGAAAGTAAACAAGAAAGAACACACCAGATTTAACGAGGTTCGGCAACGTGCCTACGTCCTCGGGAGCCACACCACACAATTCTTTGATTACTTGAAGAAGATTACAATGCTTACAATTGGCCTCTCTTTCTCTAAGATTTCTAACCTCAAAGAGCCCTCAAAACCCTCTTTTTTCGTGCTCTTTTTTTCTCTTAAACCCTAAAGGGACGTGTTTCTATTTATAACAAAACACAATCCCAAACAGATTAGGATTCTAAAACGAGTCTGCCACACCCTGGTGTGGCGCAGACTACACCCATGGCAGACAGGGCAGACTCTGCCACACCCTGGTGTGGCGCAGACCACACCCATGGCAGACAGGGCAGATTCTGCCACACCCTGGCGTGGTGCAGACCACACCTATGGCCTGTCTTGAATTTTTATGCTATTGTTGATTTTGATTCTAGGTTTGGGTCTCCACTCTTAAGACCAACAATACCAATTGTATCGATGACTGCTTCTTACTATACAAGCGCTTCCCGGTTGGAACATATACAGTCACAGCGGTGATCCTATCCAGGCTCTGATATGATGCAAGAGCCATCGGCCCAACAGTCCCCCTATCCCTCGTCGACGACGAGCAATCCTCGAACTATGGCATGAACCTAATCCAATCATCCGACAGCGCTAAATGCAAGACATGGCTCGAATCAAAACCCCCATCATCCGTCATCTACATCTCTTTCGGCAGCTTCGACACCGACACCCTCTCACCCCACCAAGTCTCCGCCCTCACCTCTGCCCTCCTCTCCACCAAGAAACCATTCTTATGGATTATCCGCTCGTCGGAGCAACACAAACTACCAGAAGATTTCGTTTGTGACAATAAACAAGGACTAATACTTTCGTGGAGCCAGCAACTTGCGGTGCTGGCTCACGAAAGTATAAGGTGCTTCGTGACACATTGTGGATGGAATTCAACGCTGGAGGCATTAAACAGAGGAGTGCCGATGGTGGCAATGCCTCAGTGGACAGATCATCCAAGGAATGCAAAATATGTGGAGGATTTTTGGAGAGTTGGGGTGAGAGCAAGGGCAAGAGAGGGATTTATCGACGACTTTGAGATTGAGAGGTGTGTACAAGAGGTGATGGAGGTGGAGAGGAGTGGCGAGATGAGGGAGAATGCTAGGAGGTGGAAGGCGGCGGTAGAGGCGGCGGTGAGAGAGGGAGTTCAAATCAGGGGTTGGAAGAGTTTGTCGAGTTTTTGAATGGGGCGTGTGGAGGGAGTGATAACCTAGCTAATTAAGCGAGATGTTCTGAACCATTTTGAGATAGCAAATGAAATAATTTGAAGGTTTTATTGTTCTTTTCGTATTATTAGGAAAATTTTGCTTGTATATCAAGTATTATGATAGGATTTGTTTTGATCTGTGCAAGAAAAATGCAGAGAAATATATTGAAAATGTAGAAGTATTATGCGAGAGAGGGATAGGGTGCATTCGGTCCGGATACAGCTCGGATATGATGCTTATCATATCCTTATCCGCTTATCCATCTCGGATACAGATATAGATACATATATGTCTCGGTAAAGAAAATTCATATCCATGCGGATATGCATGTAGATACAAAACGAATATGAGAAAACTAGGTAGTATTGAGAAAAACATAGTTCATGTAATACAAAAGAGTTTGTTAATATATTCATTATAACTGAAAAGCTAAGATTAGACATCTTGATCATCAAAATTAACCATAAATCCATAATCTAAGAACTAAAACTATCTAGAGTATGACTAATATGCATTTGGATATTTCGGATACGGATCCGGATATCTTCCTACAAAACTATATCTGTAATCATGTCATAGATTCTGAGTAATTTCGGATATTTTGTCCGATACCGATACAGTTTTAACACTCCTGGCCCCACCTGTATCCGCTCTCTCCTCTCCATTTCCGGAGGAAAAAAAATCACTCCTCTCTTTGACTATTATTATTATTATTTTGCTCGGGCACGATGGCAGCGATCCCTCCTCATCCATGGCTCTCGTCCTTCGCTAGTGATTCATCATCTGGAAAAGGACAGCTCAGCTCTTCAGCCCGCCTCATCGCCGTCGCCTCCGCCCTCCGCCTCGGCCGCCTCCTCCGCCTCCGCTGCACCGCCCGTCTCCACCTTGCCCTCTTCCCTCACCCGACGCCGGTACGATTCTGGTTCAAATTTCGTACGCACACGTCTTGAATTAGCCGTGCCTTATCCTGTAAATTGTAACCTAAAGCTGACGATAGCCCTAATTCTATGAAAGCAAGTTCTTCTGAATTTTATGACTACAAAACCTTTTTATCACTAATTTCTGATCCTTCTGCCTGTGTTGTTGCGTTCAGCGGGAAGGATATCTCTTGAGCAAAATCCATGATGTTTGGCACCAAAGAACTCTTGCTGATGCCCTTTCAACATCATGTTTTTCTTTTTTCAATGGAGGGGGGTCCGAGAAGGGACACAAGTTTCAGTCTGATGCCTCCAGAGGAAACTACGCCCGCGGGAGGCTATGGACAAATGTTATCCTCGCCGTTAATGTTCTGTAAGTTTCTGACTCTTCAGCGTGCTTTTCACAAATGTTGATCCTTCCTCTTTTCAAACTTGATTCTATTAAGTGAATTCTGTCTCCATTGACCATGCATGTAAAATTGTAAATGAATACATGACAGTTTATGAGTTGAGAACAGTTACTCGCACTCATTTTATTGAGCACGCGCATAGATATGCTTGTCAACTGCAAACTAACAGCTTTGACAGGGGAAGTGAAGAGAAAAAAGAAAGAACGGAAAGCACGGGACATGATAAATGAAATCCGTTTGAGTGAGAAAGACCTTCACCTCTTTGTGAAGAATGACAAATAATTTTTTGATGCTGCAGTAGTCCCCAGGTTCGTTTAAGTGCCACCGATATTCAACAATATGTGCAGATGAGCTCCCACCACAACTTAATTTCAGGATAAATTAGACGAGGCACGTGAACACAAAGAAATTAGTGCAAACAAACATGTCTGATATTATTTCATGATAGTATTTCGGTAATGCTTATCTTTCTAAAGCAAACTTGGTTGTTTGAATAGAATACCATTTCAACAAAACTTTACAAACTCCACTTCGGGAAACACAATGTTAGATTAAACTACATGAGGAGTGTAATACGCTTGCGCATTCAGATACACACACGCCCACCCCAAATCTACACGACTGATAAAATCTTGGTAATATGAGAGGAACGGAATGTCAAAAGGAGAGTTGTGTGCATGTCCTGAAAAAACACTCAAATCTTCTTCAAAATTTACAAATTCCAAAAGCAAAAGAATATCTAGCTTTTTAGGGTGATTAAAGAAGAATACAAGAACATCAAGTGATGAAGAGTACTTTTCCATTTGAATTTCACAAATGATGAGGTGTCGTGTAGTGTTTTAAAGGCGATGCAACTCAGGCCCTCAGACGAGACGATCTTGTAACTTAGCGCATTGTGTATTGTCAAGCGATGAAGGTTACTAAGGCGAGTACCTTTTGGAGCCTCAAGAGCTTGCCTTGGTGCCTCATGATCTCACCTTGGTGCCTCAGACACTTGCCTAAGGCATGAAGTGTTTCTCTATTTTAAAATTTTGAAGGTGTGAAAGGTGTTCAATAAAGTCAAGTTTGTTTTCATAATTGAAGTTTCGTGTTTCTTTTCTTGGTCGATTTTTCACTATTTTTTGTCGTAATGCACTTTATTAGCTATATCATTTTGAGGACATGCCACAATTTGAACCTTAAAGTTCAAATATTGCTGCTTACTTATCTATGTTAGCAGTTACTAGTTAATATTACTATTCAGTATTTGTTACTTACTACATGTAGATGGTTTATGAAATTTTGGCTATGATTAATTTGTTACTTACTTACTTACTATTCAGTATTTGTTACTTACTTACTAGTTAATATTACTATTCAGTATTTGTTACTTACTACATTTAGATGGTTTATGAAATTTTGGCTATGATTAATTTATCTTGTTGCTATTTATTGATATTTGCATATTATTTATAATGTTTATGAATTTTGGAATATTTATCACCTTGATTCACTTGGGTGATCGCCTTTTTTTGGCGTCTCTCGCCTCAGGCAACATAGGACCTCATCGCCTTGACCTTTCCTTTTGCTTTTAAAACACTGATGTTATGGAGAAGAATATATTTTGAACAAAAATTCAAATATTTGTTTTAGATGTATTTCCAAGGAAAAGGAGCTAACAATCCTCATTGGAAGTTTTCAAGATTGACACTGTATCAAGGTATATTATGTTTATGCAATGAAAACCCTAACTTTAATCCTCCACCACTTTGCTAGCCTGCAGCCTTGAAACCATAGTTTACTTTTCAGTGGAATAGCTCTTTTAGCGTCGTTCGTGGGGGGGGGGGACGTATTTTGGAGGAAGTTGGATGGAAATCTAAAACATAATGTGGGTTGTTTGTTTTTGCACTAAGACTAAGATAAAAGTGAGGCTTTAGGGTTTGTATAGTCTGTTTACCTTACTGATTATTGTTGTCTTGTCCTAGTCTTAGATAAATATATTTTGGTACCAGGAAGTTTTTCAACTACCATACATATTCTCTTAGTTGGAAAGAGTTCCATCTGGGTGCTAATGCTGGTTCATTCTTCTCTATGAGGGAGTCTGCCTTGCAAGAAAAAAAAGAAACTCATCAAATTTTTCTATTTGGTGATTTGTCTAGTTTTCTCTTCTCATTAACCAATGTTGTAGAATATGGTTTATGTGCATACAAATACAATAGCCAAACTCATAGAAATTGGCATATAGTATGTGCCCTGGATGCAACTGAGAAGAAAAGAAGAGTAGAACAGGACTAGAAGGGGGAGAAACAAAAGAGTTCTTTTTCCCAGTTGTTATTATCGCCACTGATTGTTGTTGTTAAGGTCATTAATATGTGAGTATAGTCCTGCATCGTATAGGATAAGAAAGAGATGAGTTTAAAATAAGAGTTGGGGTCAATGTCTAGTAGCTTTTTAGGTTAAAATTGGTTCCTAGCCTATATATAAAGCCCATTAACTCTGGATTAGGTTCAATTACTTCCCAACAATGATATCAGATCTAAGGTTATGGCCCAAATAAAAGTAAAGTACAATGTGAAGCCCGAATGCCACAAGTGAAGTGGCCAAGTCAAGTTAACCAACGGATGCCTGTAAGAGTGAAATGATCTGGTTAGCCACAAGAGAAGTGACGGCCACGAGTTAAGTAGTGGAAGATCCTATGGATATTTGATAGCCATGTGCGGAATGCATGGTTGACAGTTCAGACCAAGTTAGTGAATCCCATGAAAGATTAAAGTATAGTGGAAGATTGGACTATACTCATAAATTAAGGGGGAGATGCTGAAGTCATTCATATGTGAGTGTATATGTGACTATAGTCCAACATCGGTTAGGATAAGAAAAAATGATGGGTTTGAAATAGGGGTTGGGGCGAATACCTAATAGCTACAGCTTTTGGCTTAAAATTGGCTCCTAGCCTTTGTTTAAAGTTCATCAACTCTAGGGTGGGGCTGATTACTCCCCAACAATTGTTGATTGCCGCCCGGTCATCACCTCTTGTCACTACTGTCTCATGGATTACTCTGCCACAATCATGAAGAAGAGGGAGGAATGCTAGACCTAACATGCTGAGTGGGTCGAACTTGTTTCTCACTATAAAAAAGGGTTAGGGATTTGAACCCTACCCTAATATATAATATTTTCCTCTTCTATTTGAAGCAACAGTGGGAAGTGAATGGTGGAAGATCCCTCTCTCTGTTCCCTTTCCTTTTTGGACATTTTTTCATGTGTGGTATATGGCACCAAACTGCATGGTTTGGCATATTGTTTTCTAGAACATGGTCATTAGCTTTTGAAAAAAGTTACAAGAATGGCATGTAAGAAATCCAGCATGGCCTATGTTGGAGTCTCATATTCAGCATCGCTTAATTTTACATCTCAAGCTTGAATTGATGTTTCAATTCTCTCCCATGGAAGGGATTTATTGGGTTTCAGCTCCCTTTGTTATGTTGGACAGTTTCCTATTCTCAAAATAAAATAAAATAAACCTAAAAATTGTAGAATGTCCCTGATAAAGTTTCTTTGGTTGGTATGATGATACCATTACCGGGTCCGAAGAAAGCCAGAAGAATACATGTGTACACAAATTCTGGTGATGTTGTTTTTACAGAGAACTCAGAAGCAAGTTATAAAATTCTCTTGGTTGAATTGACCCCTTTAGCCTTCAGTAACTATCTTTTACAGAAGATGCTAAGATGCTTTGCATCCAAGCTAAATCTCCTTCCTGTGGAGTTATTTCTATGAAATTCTACATGCAAAGACCTTCAACATCTGTAGACAAGAATTTAGCCCAGTGCACCATTAACTGATAGTGTGAGAAAACTTGAATAGTAAATGGCTCATATTGCAGTCTACACAATTCTTGGCACATCCAAGCATTCTCATATTAAGCCTTTAGAATTACACCTGACACTATAAACTGAATAGAGAAGAGGAATTTGCTTAGAAAATGAAATGAACCGTATTAGGTCCAAGGTTACACGTCGCATCTTTGAAAAGCCATCAATGGCAAAGAAGACTGGGTGATACTTCTAGCTCAGTTGTATCTCTATTCTTTTCCCTTTGTTTCTTATATGTACTACTAATTAACCAGTTGGAGCTCAAGACTTACTGAATCACAAGGGCATCGCCCTTTACAGTGCTGGCTTTTGTTGAAAACTAAAACTATTTTTTCTACTTCAGATTTGTTTAGTTTTCACCTCAACATATTCTTGCCAATGTAAATAGCCATTACTGGATTCTTCTGAAAATAATTATAGGAGAATGTTTCTTTCATATTATTTTACTGCAGTTGTAGATATTGTTTCCATTTGCTACCTTCCGCAATTTTGTACACTTCCATTCCTTTTGTATTTCTTTGGACCATCGTCTTTTCCAACCCCGAAGACATTATTCTTTGGACACAATTACAAAGGTGGGTTTCGAATTTTTCTGTTAGAGCATATGGAACATTTGTACCATATGTATATTTTTAGCATATTATCTTGTGTACTGGACTTAAAACATTTGTCTCCACTTGTTGTGTTTTCTCTTGCTAGGGTCTATGTTGCACAGGTTGCTTCTCAAGGGAGGTTAACTTTGTGGGGAGCTAAGGTTAGGAACATTTCTGTAAACTTGCTGTTCTGTGCACATTATCTCATGTTTGATTATATCAGTTATGAAATAGGTCAACAGTCTGATCGATAAAGGACAATTGTGGAGATTGGCTACGTCGTCATTTCTTCATGCAAATATTGCACACCTCCTGGTTGGTATTTTCTGTTCTTTTCTTCCTATTATTATTATCATTTTAATCGTGTAACTGATTATAGAATGCGATTATCAGCTTGAAAAAAAATAACTTTTACAGGTCAATTGTTACTCTTTGAACTCGATTGGCCCTACTGTGGAGCAATTGAGTGGACCTAGACGGTTTACTGCAGTATACTTCACTTCAGCAATAGCAAGTAACAACTTACACAATTGCATTGGATGATGGAAAATGTTAGTATTTATTCATGACGTGCTCTATTTTGATTTTTAAGTCCTGATATAAACTTTTTGCAAAACTAGGTACGCTGGTGAGCTACCGGTTCTGCCAATCTCCTGCTGTTGGTGCATCGGGAGCCATCTTTGGATTAGTAAGTTTGAGACAGTCATGAGTTTGTTTCAATAATGTGGTGACTTGTCATTTCTCAGAATTTAGACTTTTACATGATGTTATTGCTCTCTTTTGATAGCATATATTAATAGTGATAAGTTTGTAACTTTTCGAAGGGAAGAAATAATATAAGCTGCTAACTCATCTTGCTGCTCATGTATTGAGTTGGTTGTGTGATGGCCTTAAACCAGTTCTTTCATTGTTATTTGTAGAAAGTAGCAATAGTTATACAACCAGTTTAGTGAACGGCCACATCTTTTTTGATATCATTTTGAAAATAAATGGATATTCCTTCTTTCACTACTATGGCGAGCACTTGCTTATCAACTTGAATTAGTTCTTCCATCAGCAAATTTTAGTTGAATTAACCAACCTGCTGCATAGAATAATTTACGTCATCTGATTGTTTCCCCTCAATATAGTTTTTTGAATTAGTCTATATTACATGCCACTCTTTTTCTTGTCTTTAATTTAGTGGTTTCACATCTTTAGCTTATGCTCGGAGTTTTTTTATTTTCTTTTATTTTGACTCTAAAAAGTTCAAGAGGAATGCAGTTCCCTATAATTTTTTGTCATATTTGGACTCTTTTTTAACTGTAGGTTACTTTGGGAGATCAAGTGAGCTTAAACAATGTTACTAATGTATCTTCTTCCCACCAACCTGTTCCGTTTTGTGAGTTTTGGTACCAGCAGCGGGTGGACATAGTAATTTGCTCGACAATCCTACATAATGAATTTCAACTAACCAAATTCACTCTATCCGAAAACACAAGAATTTCATCTGTTGGTGTTTTTAACCAATAGAAGGATTTAAAAGGAGATAGTTGTGTAGTAGGAAAACTAGGAAGCTTTTTTGACCCTCGAAGAAAATACTTAGTCCAACATTGAAATTAATTCCAACTCCCTCATATCCTTCAAGAATTACATCTCTTTTACTGAAACCGAAACTACAATGAAAAAATGCCTCGGTTTCTTAGACAATCATATTGACTAATGTATGTATTAGAAAGCACAATTAGCTTTTGTTGCTCTATCCAAATCTCCCAATCTATTCAGTTTGGTTCGGTCCATCTTCTGTACCTAGAAAAGCAAACAACGCTGATATTATTTGCTTTTGTGCATATCTACATAGATTGATATGGTTATACTTGATCATAAAGTAAACAATACTGATATTATTTGTTTTCTTTTATTTTCCCCCCTCCTTACTAAGGTGGGTTCTCTCGCAGTGTTTGTCTTGAGACATAGAAGTCTGCTGGGAGGAGGAAAGCAGGATCTAGAGGAAATTGCTCGTGTGATAGCCCTTAATATGGTAACAAAGTGATTTCTGCCTCAATATCTTTTCAGTAAAAATGTTGATCCCCTGTGATATGAAAATTCATATTTGCAGGTTATTGGGCTTGTGTCTAGAGGCATCGATAATTGGGGTCATGTAAGTTAGCACACCAGTTTTCACTTTTCTTTTGAGCAAGATGCTTCCTTCTTTTATCGTTTGCATTAAAACCTTTCTGCAACTGAATTTCATACACTTTGTTTTTCAGTTGGGAGGGCTACTAGGTGGAGCTGCTATGTCGTGGGTTCTTGGCCCTGCGTGGAAGTACGAAATCAAGCTTAAAGATGGAGGGTCAGTTTTTGTTGACAGACCTCCAATCTCTCATTTCATCAATAGGAGAAGATTAAACTAGAGCAAGTCATCGGGTATTGGGTCATAGCTGCATATAATTCGTCATGTCTCGGACGCTGCAAGATGGTGGGGGAAATCGCATAAAGAGATAAGCACGTGGATTTCTGAAGCAAAGTGGCCCTTTAGAGAGATTCAAAGGGCGAAGTTTTAATTGTTGTACAAAAGATAGATGTAAATTTTATTCATCTTTGTTGTATAAGTAAGTTGTAATGACATCCGCTGAGACCTCTTTCACCGTTTTCACATGTTTAATGTTGGTGAAGATTCCCCGGACATCCAATTTAGATATTGTAGACGGAAGCGTTCATTATCCCTGTGCTCTGAGTGCATTTCAACTTCCGGTGTTCCTTTTGATTGTGCTGTTGTTCCGTTAATTGTGATTTCTTCAGGTAGGTACTTGTGCATAGAAAATTGGGAGTACATAAAGGGGTTAGATTAGATAAGAAATGAGTAAAATAAAGATTTGCTTTGGATTAGGACTTGGAACCGTGAGGAAGAACTTATGAAATGTTTCGGGCACCTGCAACCAAGGTCAAATGGTATACAGTAGTAGATGGGAGAAGTGATAGAATATAATTAATGAAGTAATGAGGGATGGAGTTCATAAATAGGAATATTGTAGAAGATTAAATTTACTAAAGAAATGACCTGAAAGAAAAAAATAAGGATCCTATTAGAGTTGCCCCTTTATGAGTCGGTGGTTTACACCACAGATACAAGAGCTATAATTTTCAAACTAACCCCTCAACTGCTCATGCATGGTGCAGAAAAGAAATGGAAAAAAGCCCCTTTCTGCATGACCTACTAATCAATTAGTAAACTCATTAGAATTACAAGACAATATAAAAAAGCTTTACACATGCCCAAAATAATAATAATAATAATAATAATAATCAAGCTATATCAATAAGAACCCCTGTGGCAAAAGAATCTCGTTTTTATCTCTATTTTCTCTCTTCTACGACCTTTGCATGGTTCTCATCATCATAAAAAAAGAAAAAGAAGAAAAAATTCTCTCCCTCAAGAACTCGCCAAAGTCACTCCGAAAAAAAGGAGAAAATGGCTCTCTAATTCTCTCTCCAAATGTAAGCAAAAAATAAATAATAATAATAGTAATAATAATACGTAACGCGTTGGGAACCTAATTTCAACATCCAAGGCTCATCAAATCGGATGGGGATAAAAAGGGCATTGGCAGGGAGCGCTTACACGGCACTGGCAGGGGGCCCCTTACACGCTAATACTAATTGTACAGGAGCTCTAGCAGCTATTCAAAGAGAAACTCTTCAGTAATATAACATGGCCATCATAACGCTAATCACTACGACAGAAAGCTACTCTAATTAAGCGAGTCAGCTATCGTCGTGGCCTTTCATAGCACAAGCTTATCCATGCTCTAGTACTCCGCAGAATCAGAAACCAGGACCAAATTGGGTTTCAAGCTTTAAAAATGAATTACAAATATTAAGCCAACTTCTATTCACGGTCGTTGTAACTTAGAGAAGTATATGGCACGAACTCCTGTCGTACCAATTGCAATCGCAGGTATTGACATACTGACACTAAATTTGGCTTTAATTTCTATATAATTCATCTCCCGTATCCAAATTCACTCAGATACATCTACCTGTAAC